AGCAGAGGCATCGTCGTGTCTCTGAAGGAAGTCCAAGAACTTGTCGAGGATGCCGAACGGCTTGAGATCCCGGCTTATAACGACCATTTGACACATTACCGGGACCAGCTAAGTGCTGGTGAGGCTTGGGAGAAGAAGGTAAATGAACTGATTCATGCCGAGTTCGTCCACTATCAGCAGCTCGAAGCTCTGTCTGCTCAAGTAACAGTGAACTCGCTACCCGTTGCACAAGACACTCTAGCAACCATCGACCAAATCCTTCATAAACAACGAGAGGCTCATCGACAAATCCTTGACTTGACAAGTCGGAGCCAAAATACCAACATCCGAGAGAGGCCCAAGTACGGCGAGGTTGTCGAACTTTGCAAAAAGCTCGAGGAGCTGAATTCAAAACCGCAAGGCACCATCGACCTCGAAAACGAAAGAAAGCGACATGAGGACTGGATGAGAAAGGGGAAAAAGTTGTTTGGGAAGTCAAACGCTCCTCTTCACATTCTCAAGACTCATCTCGAATACGTCCTCGAGCGGAACTCGGACTGTTTTAATATTGAGCACGATACCCCCCGACATCCTGGTGAACCAGTATCCAGGGAACCCAGCCCCGAGGATGGAGTGAATCGCTTAGAAGATGGTCGCTCAAGACAAGTATTCTGTATCTGCAGAAAGATCGAAGCCGGCATGATGATTGAATGTGAACTCTGTCACGAGTGGTGAGTAAAGTCATCCTTCTAGTCTTTTGTCAACTACGCCAACCCGGCCGACATTCAGAAAGCTCTTCAAGAAAACTAACTCGAGAGGCAGGTACCACTACAAATGTCTGAAAATTGCCCGAGGAAAAGTGAAGGAAGATGATAAGTACACTTGCCCCATCTGTGATTGGCGGGTTAAGATTCCTCGGGATGCCTCCCGGCCCAAACTCGAAGATCTCGTGGCTCTAGTTGATGAGATCAATACGCTTCCCTTTCAGCCAGAAGAAGAGGAGCTGTTGCGCCAAATTATTGATGGCGCACAGTCATTCCGCGAGCACATTACTCGATACTGCAATCCAGTTCTGTCCACCGAAGCTGAGGTCGAAACCCAACGGTTCTTTCTCAGGAAAATCGAAGGAGCCGAAGTCTTGCTCGCTTTCGAAACGAACTACTTTCGACAGGAGTTGCACAAATGGTCACCAGTCGCCCCTGAGGCACCCCCTATTCTCGAGGTGTCTCTTAGCACGAGGAAACCCCGCCCTACGAAGCTTCAAAAGATGCTTGCCGAATATGGGGTAGATAATCCAGACGACTTGCCCGAGCATGCCAAGGGCAAGGCCAATAGTTTACGCCGCAAAGCTATGAATGCCGAAGCTGCTGCTGCCGCACAATTATCTAGCGGCCCAATTCTTCCACCTTCGTCGCACAGTCAGGCCGGAAATCAGCCCTTCTTTGGCCGCCATCCACAGGGCGATGTCTCAGCCTCGACCTCTGCACCGAGCCTGAGCCTAGGTCCAAATGAGCCTCAGCTTCAAGGAGAGGCAATCGACAACGGCTTACACCCAGCATTCCTTGGAGCTAATGGGCCCCAACTACATGTGGATGCCTCTAGCAAGTCACTCGAGGACAGACTACTACGAGGCGATGTAGAAGAAAGTGAATTACACACTGAGGAAGGAAAGACTAAGGCTCTTGAAATCCTCAGTCGGACTGAGCAAGGAAGGCAACAAGCAGAGAAAATCTGGGGCGCAGACGTTTGGGGCTCCCACAATCGATCCCTTGGCCATGAGGCACGAGGTATCACGTCCGTCGACATTGACCCCATGATGAAGCAGGACGATGGGAACGTGGATCAGATGTTCAAGGAAATGACGAATCAGGACGATGACGAAGATCCAAAGAAGAAAGACGCGAATAATGACGAAACAGCACCTACAAAACTCGCAACTGAGCTCACCAATAGAAACAAACCAAATGAAGCAACAGGCAAGGACCAATCAGCAAAATGATGGGCAGAAAAGACAAGATTTATGGGTAGGCGTTAGGAACTGGAGACCATAGGTATAGGTGTTTACTAGGATATGGGTCAAGCTTTGGACCAAACAACCGTATTTGATCGTTATTGGAGCTGAATGGTATTTGTTGGTATTTTCCTCGCCTTTTCTTGGTTGTCAGGGCACATCAACGATGGAGTTGCATTATTCTTCTTGCACATGGCACCCCGAGCGCAGTATCATAACTCGTTAAAGTTAGTCACTTGAAAGCGTGTACAATAGATATCAAAAGGGTTTCATGGGAAAATGTTCTATATGTCTTCTCGCACATTACCTACTCCAGGAATCCAACTGATTGTGAAGCCAAGTTCTCTCCCGTTTTCCCCCTAGCTGCGGATGCTGTGCAAAAGATATCACATGCAGCGGGGGTTCTTTTGCTTTTCAAGCTGCAGAACAAATCACGACAAATATAACTGAAGATGGGGAGTATGGGAGAGAGTATTCTCTGTGGGTAGATCTAGAAATAATAATAAACTGCAAACGCTTATATCGAATCTGCCTCTTGTGACAACGGGGGCGTTGAGCCCAGAGGAGAGAGTCTATAATCTTAGATGAGACAAAGACATTTATCCTGAAAGTACAAAAAGAGTCATCGGGACCGATTGTTGAATACATGGTCTTCTCCAGAAAACCTTCCCCGCGAATACATATTCGCAAAATCTAACGCCTGTATATGCTCGAAAGAAAACAACCCCAAGAAAAAGGAATAGCCACATGGCTTCGCTGCTTGGCCCGGAAGTTTCAGGGAAATGCATGCATGAGAAGGAGTGAGTCTGTTTGGGTTGATCACGCTGGAGTGGTGGAATGTCTATCGGTTCACACCGACGAGGCTGAGAAATTCATTCCGCGTCTTCGACTTGCGCTCGAAACAGCCCAGGACGCAGCTCGTGATGGTTGTGGATGAGGTCTTCTCGACGCCGCGCATGACCATGCAGAGGTGAGATGATTCCATGACGACTGCGACGCCCTGAGGTTTCAGGATCTCCATGATGGCGTGGGCGACTTCTTTGGTGAGACGCTCTTGGATTTGTAGGCGGCGGGCAAACATCTCAGCAATGCGAGGCAGCTTGGAGAGGCCAATGACAGTCTGGGATGGGATGTATCCAATGTGCATCTTTGATAGCAATCAGCCGTCTGTTTCACAGTCCCATTTTGGTCTGGGAGGTTCGCAAGAGCGTTTGATCGCTCTAAGTACATACCTTGCCAATGAATGGAACCAGGTGGTGTTCACATAGCGAGTGGATCTCAATGTCTTTTTTTACCCCTCCGGTTAGCATCAACGTCAAAATGGAGGCGGACAATGCAATCACAAACTTTTTACTACAATGAGTTCGTTGTGGCCTTCGTGGAAGAGCGCGCCGTTCACAAGATCCTCCATGCTCTCCTGGTAGCCCTTGGTGAGAAACAGGAGGGCCTTTGCGTAGCGTTCCGGGGTGTCAAGTAACCCCTCACGGTCCGCATCCTCGCCGACGCATTCGAGCAGAGTGCGGACGGCGCCGCGCATCTTCTCGAGACGCTTCTTGGCTTGTTCTGGGCTCTCCTCGCGGCGCTCGAGGGTTCCAATGCCTAGTTTTATTCAGTCAATGACAAAGGCGCAATATGTCTCAGGTTCTTGCCTCTATCCGACCAATTGTAGTCAGATAGAACAAGAGTCCCGGGGGGGCAACCTACTCGGTCGGCTGAGCCCGTCAAAGTCGACGACTGAACTCGGGGTGGTCTCTGATTCCGCATCGCTCTGTGTCGCCGCGGCCGCCGCCTTGGCCTTCTTCTTGGACTTGGCCGTGACGACGGGCTCGTCGCGGGGGTCTCTGGCGGCGCTGCCTAGGCTGTTGCGCCTCTTGTCGAAGGCCTTGGAGCGCGCCGGGGAGACTCCATTGGTGTTGCTCTTGGCGCCGTTGCGCTTCTCCTTGCGCTTCTTCTTGTGGGCAGAGCCGTCGCTCGACGTCGAGCTGCCGGAGATGCTGGCGGTATCGTGGGGTCGCTTCCTGGTCAGGGACCGCTCGGCGTCGTCGATGGACACCATGCTGAGCGCGGGGAGGGATTGGAACAAACGCCCGTAGCGGAGAAGAGAATTGATGGCGCAAAGGATAGGATAGGGCTCAATTGAAGAATGGTGATGGAGGAGGAGCGAGATCGGCTATAAACGGGGACGGGGCAGAAGAAGAATATAGCACGTTTCTTGCTGACTCGGTGCAGGTTGACTCGGTTAGAATCCGAACATGGGCCTATTAGGAGCTCTATAAAGGTAATGAAGGATTTTACGGGTTCTCATGACATATCTATATACTGCTAACCTTGCCTGTAATTAGCCACTGCGTTAAAATGTTCTCGGCCCGGGCAATCCAGTTCGTAAAATCACCCGACTCAACCGACGAGCAGGTCAGAAAAATTCCAGGTCCCAAGGGTTCTATGATCCTTATCGCTTATCGTCTACGTCAAGTGGGAGCGGGAGCGGGAGGGACACCGGTCATGTGATAGGTACGACGATCTGCTTGAGGTAAACGTCGAGAGAGTTCCCACGGGGTACTAATCGACCGATCCATAGGGTCAGCGACTATCTAATAAATGTATTTCAATCTCAAGGGTATGGTCGCATTACACAGGTGCGGCAGTTTGCCTAGCACAGACGCATTGCGAGCAGGCAGGGTCAATGATGAAGTATTTCGTTACCCTGTTATTGGTCAAATATAGTGGGTAACTGTTAGCGGGTACATGCGCCATCATGTCCCGTCTCGCTTTAGGCCGGGTTTAGCTGCAGCCGAGTCGTGAAACGCGTTTGCGATCATCTGTCTGTTGAAACTCCTTTCTCGAGTCGTCACTGCAAGCACCTACTGCCCTCCACGCTTCTCTCCTAAGGCGCTTACTGGGTGCATTCTTTCACCGCCTCTGCGCTGGCATATCGATTACCTCTGCTCACCCATCTTGCAACCTGACATAGGTACCCAGCTGTCGCCGGCTTCCGAACAAACCTTCAATCATGGCCTCCCCTCCCAACCCCAGCTCGCCTGCTGCCATGTCTCCTCCAGGTCCTTCAGCACCGCAGATTTCTGTCAAAAAGCGCAGTTCCACATTCGACATCAACGGCCCCAATAAACGCCGCAAGGCCTCTAGCACGTCCAACAACCTGATCCATCCCCTACGTCAAACGTCCTTTCCGCCCGAAGCACGATCTCCGTTCCTGCGATCGCCTTCAGTAGATTCTGCTTCTCATGTCAGTGGCAGCCAAGTGAGCGGGGTCACAGCAAGCGGTGCGCCGAAAAAGAAACGAGGGCGCAAAGCCAAGAACGCAAAGGGTGGAGGTGAGTCGGCCACACCCAGCTTGGTGGGTGGGAAGGCGGCGACTTCCGTGAGCGGGCATGGCGGCGAGGACAAGGATGCAGAGGAGGAGGATGAAGATGACGACAAGGCTGAGATGGCCCTGGAGGATGTTGGCGCGCGAACTCAGGAGCAGAAGCAGGAAGAGATCAGGCTGAGGGCTATGCTGGTGGAGGCATTTGACCCCGAGCAGTATAGTCGGTACGAGCACTGGCGTGCCATGAAGCTCACGGAATCCGTTGTTAAGCGGGTAGGTTTTCACTTGTTATTGCACAGATTTGCCCGGTTTCGTTATCAGGTGGCGGGCATATGGCTAACAAATGCTATCTAGGTTGTCAACGCTACGGTATCCCAATCAGTACCGGGAATGGTTACCACTGCGGTCAAAGCGGTGACGAAATTGTTTTCCGGAGACATTATCGAGTTGGCCCGACAGGTGCAGGGCGAGTATATTCGTGCTGGCGAGAGCCAGTCCGATCTGCCGACCCCACCACGCTCAGGCGCTGAAGGGGACGCAGAGGAGGATATCGAACTACACAGAGGGCCCCTTCGTCCAGAGCATCTACGCGAAGCTTGGAGGCGGTACAGGCTTGCTGGGGAGAGCCGTGGCGTCGGAATGCAGCAGCTTTGGCATCACCAGAAGCAAGACGGAGTGGAGCGGTTTTCAACGAGGACGGGAAAGAGGATGTTCAAGTAGAGAACAAGGAGGCGTGGTGGACATGATACCCTTTGGATTGATTATTGAATTCGGTTAGCGATGTAACATTTACAGCAAGGACAAACACGGCGTATGGAAGGGAAGCGTCCAAGGATGCATCTAGGCGTTTGGCAAGGGAATCACGGATGGGGAATATTTGCACTTAACCAATCACTAGAGTTATAATCATTTTTTATGTCCGACCTAGCCAGGGAAGAATGACACGGTATCGTCGAATTCATAATATGGTTGAATTTGGGGGGTCTGGTTCAAGCGAGCAAATGCCCCAACCCATATTTGGAAATTACTGGCCCACCAAACGAAACATTCACTTACTCCCTTTCACAAGCCTCAAGATTACATTTGTCAACTATACACTGCAGACAATTTCGCTCTGATGCAACTTTCATTATGATAGCTCCATCTCTGCTGGCACTCGGTGCCGCTTCCCTCCTGATTGCCCTCTGTCTCAGAATGGCCAACGTAGCTGCCCCGACCCAGCTTCAGAATAAGACGATAGCACTCTTGATAGCCCATCCAGATGACGAGGCCATGTTCTTCGCGCCTACAGTACTCGCCCTATCAAGGAAGGAGACTGGAAATCGGGTGAAAATCCTGTGCCTGAGCAGCGGCGATGCGGAAGGCCTGGGTGAGACGAGGAAGAAGGAGCTGGTGAAGAGTGGATTACTTCTTGGGTTGAAGAGCGAATCGGACGTAATGGTGATAGATAATCCAGCGTGAGTCCCCGTCTCTTCATATTGTGGTCATTTTATGATACAATACCACTCTTCAGCACTGGCAGTAAGGACTAACTGGCAGGAATATCTTGCTGCTTGACAGCCTCTTCCCAGACTCGATGACCACTCACTGGGATACCGATGAAATATCGTCTCTTCTTCGCACTACGTTCATAACCAGCCAATCATCATCTGGCTCGCCCAAACCCACCATTGATGTTTTGATCACATTTGATTCAAAGGGGATATCGTCACATCCTAATCACATTTCGTTGTTTCACGGCGCACGAGCATTCATCTCGTCGCTTACACAGCAGGGCTCTGGGGCAGATCAACCCGTCAGTCTGTATACTTTAACCACAGTCGGCGTGGCAAGGAAGTATGCAGGCGTATTTGATCGTCTCTTCACTCCGTTGCTTGCGCGTGGTGGTATGGGAAGCCATGGGCATGTCATGCCATCCAGTCTTGTTTTCATGCACGGACTCGGACAGGGAGGCTGGCGTACTGCACGAGAAGCTATGACTGCGGCACATGTCAGCCAGATGAGATGGTTTCGGTATGGGTGGATCACGCTGACTCGGTATATGTTCATAAACACTCTTGAATTGGAGGAGGTGAAGTAATATGTAGACTAGGTATCGGTGGATGTTGTCTTCTCGATGTATAATTGCAACGTGGGCTATAAGAGCCGAGGCTCTTCACACTTTGGTCCACCCAAATGCCATTCAATCATTGAGCACCTCTGATATATGGGGCTCGAGAGAACGGGATACTACACTGGACGGACCCATTGACGTATTAATTATGAATGTCACTCATATGGAAATTCTTGTAACTCCGAGAATATTGATCATGGTGCTACTCAACCACCGGTGGCTTATGATCCGTGACGGTTGTATAGGGTAGGCGGTTAAATGCGTGCCAGCCTAGGCAGGTGTTAGTTGGAAATGGATCGTCAAGATCAGCAGTTGTCAAGTCGTGTTGAAACCGCAGCTCCCAATTGGTGGTCCCCCAGTCTCAAGTTGCTACCTGATACCAATTTCATTTAAGCACGGGACGGCGTTTCTTCCACATTGGCCTGGCGACATTTCGAGCTTACTTTCCTGGCGTAGCGTTACCGCATGCATGAAGCTCGACTTTGGCATTTAAACTGCTGTCTGCTCGGTCCATGGGCAGCCAGTCGGTCCAGGTTCATCTTTCTATAGCAGGATCTAAAATCACCATGAAGACCGCCGTTTCCGCTGTTCTTCTGCAGGCTCTGGCTGTGCAGGCCATCCGCATTATTCAGTCAAACGATGATGGCTGGGCTGAATCATATACCCGCTCCTTTTTCTCTGCCCTGACCAGCGCTGGCAACACTGTCTGCTTGTCGGCCCCCGCAGACAACAAATCAGGCGTAAATACTCACCTCCTGGCATCGTATAGTTGACGTGCAAGCTAATTGTATATAGACTGGTGGCCTGGACATCGACCCCGAGCCTCGCAGCAGTGCTTGTCAATATGATAGCTGCCCGGCTAACAGCGGCGCAACTGGCAGCAACGCGACCCAGCCAGAGCTGAACTGGGTCAACTCCTTCCCTGCCACCTCGATGCGGTACGGTAGGACCAAGACCTGCCCTGCCCTGTGGGACGGCGCCGCGCCAGAGCTTGCTGTTGCCGGCCCCAACGTTGGATCCAACCTCTTCGCCGCAGTCCACTTCTCCGGCACCGTTGGCGCTGCGTGCGACGCTGCTAACGCTGGCATCCCGGCCATCGCATTCTCTGGCGCGTCTGAGGACAGAGTTGCCTGGAACACTGTGCCCGTCCCCCACAGCGGCGAGGTGTACGCCGAGCTGGCCACCACCATCACCAGCAAGATCATCGCCTCCGGAACCCCTTACCTGCCCGAGAACATCTGGCTCAACGTCAACTTCCCCCAGGTCACCGACGAGTGCAACGCCGCCTCGGACTTCAAGTTTGTTTTGAGCCGGATCAACCCTGGGATCCTGAGCCCTCCGGATGTTGAGCACTGCGGCTCGACACGACTCCCTCAGGAGCTGGAGGTCATCAACGCGGGAGGATGCCGTGTCTCCATTAGTATTGGTGACTCGAAGGACAAGACTACCGCGAACGATGACCGACAGGACGCCGTCCTTGCGAAGCTGAAGGATATCTTGACTTGTCTGTAAATAAGCATGGTGATAAACTTAGAAAGAGATGCTATGTATAACTAGGCTAGTACAGATATGGGGCTAAACTTGAAGTATATAAAAGCCCGTTGATAGTTCTGGTGAAAATGCTGAAAATGTATTTAGGAAAGAGGATTAGTAAATATGTGGCGCGAAAATGATCATGAGATTCTGCCTTCCGGTATTTGGAGAAGTGAGCAACTAGTATGTGTTTATTGTTGGGGGAAGCTGTTCGATTCACAAGCTGTGGTATGATCAAGCGCGATCACCAAGATACATGTGTGCATACGAGAAGAATTGTATTATATGTGTAGATGGAGAGTGTCGCTCAGAACTGAAACAAACTTTGAAAACAGGACCAGCCTAAATTATGCATAATGGTGCTGAAACTGAAATATCAGCCATTCGTTTAAGGCCGATTTGTATGGCTGTTTCATAAGAGCAGGAGCGCTGTCATGGTGGAGTTGCTCTTATCGATCCCGAATTCTTATCGGCCCACGTAAAGTGGTGGCATCCTGAGATCTAAGGCATCACCATTTTTTTGCGTCCGCCGGGGAAAAGTACATGTCGTGAGAAAAGTATACGATCGCCGGCTATCGAGGAGCTCGGAAAACACAACCACTCACCATGGCACCAATGGACCGATGTTTGGCCTCAATGGCCAGGCTGAGCCTCGCGCACCCCGCCAGACCGACTCTTTCGGCAACTTCACGATGTCTCGCACCGGGACTCCTCCAAACGCAAAGACAGACATACGCCTCAGTCGTTCGAATTAGACAAAAAGCAAAGAAGAAGAAGCCCGTGCCCAAGGACTTCAAGCGACACAGACTGGATAAGACGGAGTTTCCTCAATTTTCCCTGGTTGAGGCTATGCGGTATGTTGGGCAACTGGCGCTATGATCTCACGGGACGTTTCCACTAACCCATGAGCACAGAGTCCTTCGTGCGTACGAGGTCGGCAAGCCCCCCGGTGGTGTCAAGTACGAGCTCAGCGTCAACCTCAAAACCTTCCGCAACGGTCCCGTGATCAAGAGCAGCATCCGTCTGCCCAACCCCGTACAGAGCGACTGGCAGATCGCCGTCATCTGCCCAGAAGGCAGTGCGATAGCCAACGATGCTATCAACGCCGGTGCCAAGGCTGTCGGCGAGAATACTCTGTTTGAGGCCATAAAAAACGAGACCATCGAGTTCGACAGGCTCATCTGCCACGAGTCGAGTGAGAAGGCACTGCAGCAGGCCAACCTGGGACGTATTCTGGGTCCCAAAGGTCTGATGCCTAATAAGAAGATGGGAACGCTTGTGACTGATGTGGTGAGGTCCATCCGTGAGTCTGCGGGTGCGGCGGACTACCGTGAGAGAATGGGAGTCATCCGCATGGCGATCGGACAGCTGGGCCACACGCCTATCCAGCTGAGGGCGAATATCGAGGCCGTGATGAAGAAGATTAAGACACAGTGTGCCGAGCTTTCAGAGGATGTTCCTAAGGATGTCCACGAGGTCATTCTTAGCACGACGAATGGCCCCGGACTGAGCCTCAACGGGAAGTTGAAGAACCTCGAGGACAAGACTGTGCCGGAGGCGGTGTCTGGGCAAATGTAAATTGCCTGTTCCCAGGCTTGTATTATTGTATCATATCAAAAAGCAACCATACACTATTTTGGAATACTATTAATACCAAAGTTTGAAGGGCTTAGAAGATGTGATAACGACACAACGATCGATTCAAAACACGAATTGGGTATCATTGGCTCCTTTTTTGTACATTTTGCTAGTACTTATGATTTTCGAAGCGACTTGACTGCTTCGTTTTGTGCATCGATAATTCGATACACCCCCAAGTATCTCAATATTCTGCCTTTGCCTTTGGGCCCTGCAGCTCTGGCTTCCTTTAGCGCGTTTCCAAGGTCTAGCAGCAACGTATTCCGGCATCTGTTCAGTCGTTCCTCTGCCTTGACCACGAATGGGTGGTCCTGATCTAATGTTTCCACCATGTCCATAATGTACCTGCACTGATGAGCAGATATTGTGAGCTTCGCCGGAGAGCTTGCTACCAAGCCCACCGCATGGGAATGCCCGTCTTCATCTACCTCATCCTCGCTACTTTCGATGTCGGAATCCCACATCTGGTTCTGTTTTGGCGCTTCTGAAGGGAGGCTGTCGAGGGCAAGCCTTTCTTCCAAAGTGGACAGACGGTCGGATAGCTCGAGCAGCTCCCGCCCCGTCTCTATATCCGCCCGGACATCCTTCAGCTCATCATTGAGGGCGGCAGTCTGCTCTTTCCGCTGTGTTACCTTTTCCTTGACCTCTTCCACAGCTCTACGGAAGCCGAGCAAGGCGACCTTGACATCCTCCACCTTGTCATCGCCTCCCCGGAGGTCGTTCCCCAGTGATAGGAAGGCAGTATAGTTTGAATTGACAAGCTCCAGCAGCTCAGAGCTGATGGCAGCGCTGCGTTCCCGGAGGTCGGAGCGCAGATCTTCTAGTGTTTGGTGGCGGTGTGACAAAGCGGAGAGGTAGGCTGCCGGTTGGAAATCGGAGGCAAGGAAGTCGGACCGCGGGAGGGCGGCCGGGAAGGGGAGGGGAGCATCGTCGTCATCCGGGCCATCTGAGCCGTCGGGAGATGTGTTCGTTGAGGACGGGAAGCTGAAGGCCGCCGAGGCGGAACGGGATGCCAACGGGGGCGCGAGATTGGCCATTATCGATGGCGACAGAATCTGGGCCAGGATCTGAGATCTGGGACTCCTCGATTCGGGGTCCGAGCCAATACCACCGGTTTGGAGGCAGGACGAACGCTTCGCCTGGGCAGTAGGTGCTTAGCTCAGGGCCAGATGCATGGTGGAGGGTGGGGCGGAATTGGCCTGAGTCGCGGGTAGGTTAACTTAACTTGGTGCTGAACCTGAGAGGCGTCTGCTGTAAGCAAATAACCCCACTATATGCATGAAACACCTTGCATGCGTGCAAAGCAAAGCTTGAGTGCGCTGCAACCAATCATCTATCATTTCCCCGAGCCATACAGCGTATATCTCCTCCTCTAGATGGGAGCGTTGGGGAGCACTGCGATTTCGGAGTGTCAGGCGATCTGCTGTGGAATGGCCTGGTGTGGGAGCATGAACTGGTATGACTCGGGCCGTAGTCGAATGACATCGTCTGATTGCTGGGCACGAGTCCGCCTTTCGGTTTTGGGAGCAGTTGGTAGGTGCCTTCTCGTCGGTGGCCCCTCGTATCTCCGCAGGGGCGAGTAGTATTGGTGCACTAGGTCCCTGAGGACCAGCAATGGATCCATCTGGCTGTCTCAAAACAGGAGGGGACCGGCGGCAAAGGCAGGGGTCCCAATACTCAGCTACGGGGTGCTTCAAGGTTGTTTCTCGGCGATACGTATGCATGTTTATCATCCTCCACAAGGGCCTTCCTTGGCTCACTCTCCTGGTTGAGCCGAATTATTTCAGTTCAAATCCAGCCCGATGCCGCCTTGCCATTCCTTGGAGCGACGGAAGAGGGGGAAGACAGCACTCGCACATGACAATGACTGCCGTGGGGGGATGCACACGATGTGGCTATTAATTAGGTACGAGACCAGACACCAGACCCTCTTGGCTGCAGGAAAAGTTTTATCAATCAATCTAATCAATCTCATCACATCAGTACCCACTTCGCGTGGTCATGGTTTGATCATGCCATAAGAAGAACATACCGGTTCCAGTCGGATCCCCGTACAACCGAGAAAAAAGACTCATAAGTATCTCGGAGAGCTGGTTTTTATGGTGTAAATTTACAGATCGTCTGACCGTGAATTTTCCGTCATTCTCTCAGATGTGGGGGGAAAGAGTGAAGAGATCTTGAGTTAAAGAGCAATGGTGGTGTAGGTACTCGGTAATTGTTAGGGTAGCTCACAGGGTAAGGTATCCAGCTCAAACCTGCTCAATCGCGAACAATCGCCCAAGGAGTTGCACCGCGCTGGACACCGTGATTTCTTCACAACACATAGATCTAAAACCATTTCTGCTCTTGACATATTCCTCCTGTGATTCCGGCAAGTGTTGAGCCTGCAGGCACAGCTGATCTATTCCTTTGGCTAGCCCATGGTACCATCCACTACAGGCCCGCTAGCCAAACACGGGTATCGTGCCTCCGACTGCGCTGCCCAGCCGCCAGTGACGAATCATAACCGAGAAACCCCCACAATGGTGGTTCCAGTCCCAACAACCTCTTCTTCTTCAACTCCTCACCAGGTGCTCGGCGGCATTTATTTAGACACTGCCTCCCGCTCACCCTCCTCAGGGCTGTCTCCGTCCTCTCCTCCCCTAGAGCCCGCTGCCCCGAGCCCCCCGACATCGACGTCTGCTTACACCGTACTGCTGAGGGAGCCGCTGGATTTGCACCGCTTTTATTTCTACCCGCCTCACAATCCGCACGACCCCCCAGGCACGAGGCTAGGTCCACTGCCGCCACTGCAAGACCTTGTATTGTCGCCCATTGAGTCTCCAAACATGACTACGGTACTTAGTCCTAATTCCCTCCCCCCTCCGGAGAATGCACCGCGCATGTCTATGACCTCACGGGAATGGGTCATTCCTCCCCGCCCAAAGCCGGGCCGGAAACCTGCGACGGACACACCACCCACCAAGAGAAAAGCACAGAACCGAGCGGCTCAGCGCGCTTTCCGTGAGCGACGAGCCGCCCGAGTCGGCGAGCTTGAGGAACAGTTGGATGCACAGAAGGCCACGTACGACAAGGATGAGGCTGCTTTGAAGGAAAAGATCCGAACTCTCGAGCTGGAATTGCAGTCGTTCCGCTCGCGATGTTTGCTTCTAGAGAACATGCTTGAGCGTGAGAGGAAGGAGAGGATCCGTGCAGAGACGGAGTTGGAGGCTCAGAAAAGACGACCAAGTGAGAGTTATTCTAGACGGGAGAGTACCGTAGGCCAGCCTAACATTTTGCCACCCATCAGCCAGCGACGGAGTCTGCCAAACCATCCGGTTGACCATCCAGAGTCTGTGTTACCATCCCTAGAGGATGCCGACCACTCGCTCAGCTGCGGGAACTGTTCTCCCAGCGCTTGCGCTTGTGCCGAGGAGGCTTTGGCCTCTGTCAACTCAGCTCTGAGCCAGGGCCGGTTGGCGAAGCGCGCTGCTTCGCCTTCCGGCTCTCTGTCCAGCGAGAAGAGACATCGACCCAACCCAATCACATCATCCTTTTCTGTCCAGCAGGATGATTCTATGCGACACACAGAGAATGATCTCAAGGATGGCTGCGGATTTTGCAAGGACGGCACATATTGTGTCTGTGCCGATACAGCAGCCATGGCAACACCAGCAATGACGCCAACCGCTGATACCCTGCCTCCCATCCTCTCTCAAACCCAAACCCCACCCCCCTCGGAACCTGATTCTACTTCCCACCTGATGGTCATGGAGATGACGGCCGACGGCGCTGTCAAGCTCCCTCGCCGAAACAACACGCACGCTCGCCTCAAGGCCGCTGAGCCTCTCTCCCGAGGCTGTGGAGCTAACGGGCCTGGTACATGTGCCCAGTGCCAAGCTGATCCAAAATCTGGCCTCTTTTGCCGGCTTATGTCGGCGAAGTTCAGCCGTGAGCAAGGCGGCAGTGGAGGTTGCTGTGGCGGGAAGGGCGCAGGTGGAGGATGTTGCAAGTCGGCTCCTCCCAGCCAGCCACAGCAGCCAGAGAAGATCACCTTACCAAGTCTGCCGAGCCTAGGCTTGAGCTGTGCAGAGGCATACCAAACCTTGTCCAGCCACCGTCATTTCGACAAGGCCTCAGACGACATTGGATCATGGCTCCCCAAGTTGAGGACCACTCCAATGGACGATAGGGATAGGAAGACGCACAAGCGGAAGGATGTCGAGGTTGAGGCTGCCAGCATAATGAGCGTGCTGAAGGATTTTGATGTTAGATTCGGCGCATAATAGAGAGACTGGGCACGTCTCTTCTTTGGGGGTAATGATTCCTTTTTTTGGCGTACTTGGATTGGGAGGCTTCGAGATGGAAAACTGATTCTGTTCTGCCGGCTGGCTCGAACACACGTGGCTTGAACTATACGACTAGTAGATCTAAAGATAAATGTGAAATATGCACGTCTTGGTAATTCTTTATCCCTCTTGAATTATTTTGTGCGACATTGGCTGGTTCAACAGGCATTAAATTCCACGATGTGTGGTTACCGTCATCACAGTTAGGACTGTTCCTGAAGATGCTGGTCACAACCACCTTCTGCACTTCACCATATGGCTTCTTCTTTTGTTATGATCCTCATATCACTCACTGTCACACTAATAGGAGATGAGACAAATGTCTTGCGGTTGACAATAAAGTGATCGCCCCTTACCGGAGACCGATCTTGATCTTGTCCGAAAGTTCTGGCATGACTGAAGCTTTGCATCTTCAATATAGTGTTTTATCTAATGAGGCTGGAACTCAATTCCAGATCTTTCATTGATTTTCCTTCTAAGTTTAGTCAGTGTCAAACGGATTAAGTGAGCCATTCGTAAAAAATGTTGCTAGCATTAGAATGCCATGGGATCTTTGCGCGGCTTTGATACGACTCTTTATTTTTGAGACTTTTAAGCATATTCGTTTTAGCCTTTCAACGGGTTGGTTTCCTTGTTCTACTGATCTATTGGCAAATTACCCTGGAGATCTGACTTTAACAGTTTCGGCCTAAGGTTCACTTGATCTTCCTTGACCAGTTCTATCTTATGTTTATGAAAATCGGACACGCAACGTTGTTAACACTACTGGAAGATTTTGGGGATATTGTCTAAGTGGGCATTGTCCAAGTAGATCAAACAATCACCTGATAATCATATTCTACTTAACACGTCTGTTGTCCTTGCGGTTCCTTCCCAGTACATCGGGATCTGTTACGAAAGCAAAATAGGACATGTGTCCTACTACCCTGAAGAGGATACCTTGCTGCCTGGTAACTACAGCTCCTCATACGCTTGGGGCGAAAAGCAGCATTACGCGTGCCGTCGCGTTCGCCGAGTCATGACTCTGATACCTCTCCTATACTGCTTGAACGTATCATTCCGACCAAGGCAACAGAAACAATGAGCGCATCGACGCTAGCCTATGGCAGCGCAAAGGGGAAATGATGGGAAGCCTGGAGTGTCACTGCTACCGGGATGGGCATCCAATGCATTGATAGGCAAGAGGACGTATACGGCAATACCAAAAAAAAGTCGCGACACGCCAGCGTGTTGTTGCTGTGCTCTGGCTGGATCAGGGCTCGTGATATTATGACTCCGACAGGGAACATCGATGAAAGGAGAAGGCCGTTTATGGAGGTCCTCAGCTGCTATATGTACGATGGCAAAGCAGCTCATTGTGAATCGATTGGATGCGGTGACTTGCCCGGTGGCGAATGTACCTACATAGCATTCACCGGGGAAGCTGGATGGGAAAACCGAGGAGAATCGAGAGGTTACAAACACCTGATTGCATGAGCGGCATCTGACTTGCATGACCCAGCCGATCTGTGGGCGGCCCAAAGGGGCAGTAGGTCCCCTTGAGCAGGTGTGCCGCATTTCAGTTTAGTGGCGGCCACGGTATGGGACCCGGGGCAGGGACCGTAGGGGTCAGTCAAGGTGTGGGACGGTAAAGGGGAGGGGGATGGCAGGCGAGAAGGGTAGGTGAGAGGGCATCGGAGGAGGCGAGGAGAGGCAGAAACACGGTGTGA